TCGACCGGGCCCTGGCCCGCGCCACACCGGCGCGATGCTCTTCTCTCTGCGGGAGCTGGTGCAGTGGCTGGGCTTCGCCACCTTTGAAATCTTCGTGCACCTGCTGGCCCTCCTGGTGTTCTCCGTGCTGCTGGCACTGCGCGTAGACGGCCTGGTCCCTGGCCTTTCCTGGTGGAACGTGTTTGTGCCCTTCTTCGCCGCTGATGGGCTCAGCACCTACTTCACCACCATCGTGTCCGTGCGCCTCTTCCAAGATGGGGAGAAGCGGCTGGCTGTGCTGCGCCTCTTCTGGGTTCTCACGGTCCTTAGCCTCAAGTTCGTCTTTGAGATGTTGCTGTGCCAGAAGCTGGTGGAGCAGACTCGAGAGCTCTGGTTTGGCCTGATCACGTCTCCGGTCTTCATTCTCCTGCAGCTGCTTATGATCCGTGCCTGTCGCGTCAACTAGCCTGAATCAGGGACTAGAGAGCGCTGGAGTGCTGGTCCTGGACCTGAGGCCCTACTTGAGCCACACCGGCGGTCTTGACCTGAAGGCAGCGCCTGCTTGTGCCAGGCTGAGTATCCAGTTTTCTCTATGCCAGCCACTTCTGAGATTTTTCCTCATCAGGGCTAAAGAGAACAACCTTGATTCCTGAAATGCATTTCCTGTTATCCATGCTTTGAGTAGCTAATCCTGAACTGAAATCCTGAGAAGGGCCCCGGTCAGTTGGAAACTGCATATAAATCGAGGGCCCAACTTGGCTTTGAGCATTTTCTGTGGTTCCTGGGAATGTACTCCTTTCCAAAAGTAGTAAAGCTCCATTTGGGGATTTTGTCCACCTAGCAGCAGCGACCTCCATTCGGATGCATCCTTAGCATGCATCCTGTTGAGCTCTGAAAATATAAGAAACTTTGTATCTCTTCCCTGTATCAGGGGAGAGAATAGCCCTTTCTTCATTCCTGCCAGGCAGAGACAGAAAATGTTAAGTAAGAACCTGACTGTTGCCCTGTCTGGATATCTGCCACCTGAGTAAAGAACTTAAAGCGCTGCTTGGTGTCAAGGCACTCTTTGGCATTCTGTTGTAGCAGGTTGCAGTTTCGTTAGCTTTTCCACCACCTTGTGGCCAGCACCATTAGCGCATCCTGAGACAGATTCAGGCCTCCCTTAAGGGACCAAAGGGATCATGGTGGACAAGGAGACCTGCAGATGGGAACTTGTGAGTGGCCCAAGTTTGTTGGCCTGAGGTCTTTGGTTTGATGTGTCAGGTGCCAAATGATAACATTGGCTAACACAAAAATAAAATGAGAATGTTTTTCTGAAATGAAAAGTGGTTCCTTCTACAACTTGAATGAGACAAATGCTGAGATGCATGTTTCCTCCTGTGTGGAGTAACTGGTTAGAGCACCGATGTAGATAGACCACAGAGTGTTGCTAGAGCACAGTGAATGGTGGAAGACTCCTTTGGGAAAAATCCCTGTTTCCTGCTTTAGGAGATGGGTATCTTGCCCCCACCCAGGTTGAGGACTTGTAGAGTGGCACCTATGACACCAGAGCTTTGGGCTTCTTGCCAGGATGTGGTCATTGGTGCACCTCAGTGGTATGCTTTGGAGCAAGGAAACAATGGCCTAAAACCAGTTTTTGCATGGCCCTTGAGCTGAGGGTGGTTTTTATATTTTGTTCCCCCACTACTGGGGATTGAACCGAAGGATACTCTACTAGTGAGCTACATCCCCAGCCCTTTTTATTTTTTATTTTTTGAGATTAAATCTTGCTAAGTTACTCACACTGGCCTCAAACTTGCAAACTTCCTGCCTCAGCCTCTTGTGTAGCTGGGGTTACAGGCATGTGCCATGGCACTCAGCTAAGTTTTTACATTTTTTGTAAGTTTAAAGACAAAGACTGGCTGGATACAGTGACATACCTGCAATCCCAGCTACTTGGGAAGCTGAAGCAGGAGGACTGTGAATTTGAGCCTAACCTGGGCAACTTAGCAAGATCCTGTCTCCAAATTGAAGAAATTAAAAGGCTTGGGTACATAGCTCAGTGTGAAGGCCCTGTATTCAATCTTAAGTACAATCAATGAGTAAGCAAACCCACAATACATGTGTATTCAATCTTAAGTACAATCAATGAGTAAGCAAACCCACAATACCTGTGCCAGACTGTCTTCCAAAGGAGCTATTAAAAAAAAGAAAACAAAAAGTAACAACATGAAGATATGACTGAGGGAATGTACCCTGCAGAGTACAAAGCTTCTCAATCTCTGCAGAATCATCTCTCATTGTGGGTGAAGGAGACTGTCCTGAAGATGTAAGATGGTTTGCAGTCTCTGGGTACCAGTACCACCCCTCACTTTTGACGACCAAATTTATTTAAACATCACCAAGTCCCATAGGGGACAAAATTGTCCGTTAAGAAACACGGGGCTCAAACATTTATGGTTTACCCCTCTATAGAGCAAGTGTACAGCCCTCTTCTCTAGCAGCCTAGCCAACGATGTGGTTTTCTTTATAATGTTATGTTTAGATTTTGTTTTGTTGCCCAGGCATGGTGGCTCATGCCTGTAATCCCAGCACTTGGGAGGCTGAGGCAGGAGGATTGCTGTGAATTTGAGGCCAGCCTAGGCTACACAGTGAGTTGAAGGACAGTCTAAACCACATAATGAGATCCTGTCTCACTCCCCCCCACCAAAGAAAAATTTTGTTTTGGTAATTTGGAATTCGGCGCTCTGGTTGGTGTAGAAGTGATGCGCATACAAAGTCTCCTTTAGAGTTACTAGAGAAAGGCTTCTGGAAGGCGGATCCAGTTCATTTTCTCCAGTTTAATGAGTTAGCAGGGGTCAGGCAGAATTAAGGTAGGGGTAATTACACACTGCCCTGGGACCCAGATGCCAAGAAGGGCACCTCCAGGCCAAAACCTGCTGGGTCTTTCCAGAGACACAGGTGCCCTTAAGTAGAGCCTCTGGAAGGCATGTGGTGTGAGAGTAGTTTGGGTAATGAGCAGGCTGCAGGGTAAGTGAAAGAAAGATGAGGATGCCTGTGTCTATGTCCCCAATTTCCTGTTCTCCTGGATCTAAGCAATCTCTACTCTCCCGGGGCTGGAAAAAATGTGGGCACCGTGCAGCCCTCCTCAGAGTAAGAAACCCTGGGCTCTTGAGACCTGTTGGCCAGGACGCTGTGCTTTCTGGGTCAGTGGCATTCCCTACCCAGCCTTGGGGTGGGTGGAGTTCAAGAGTCTCAGTGGCCTGAAAACCGGTAGAAAATCTGGCCCACGTGGCCTGGCTCCCTGGGACCCAGGCTTCTCCTTGGCTGAATTCAGTCCAAGCCCCTGCCTCCTTATCTCCTTGCAGTTGGTCCTATACGGGCAGATGTTGGGGGCTCGGTGTGCACCAGAGACTTACCCACAGGTCCGAGAACGAACTAAAACCCGGTTTCAGAGAAACTACTCAGGGCGGGGCTCAGAAGCAGCTTTTCTCTCTCTTTTTTTCGTACCCGGGACCGAACTCGGGACCTTTCGCTTGCGAGGCAGGTGGCGGCACCACTGAGCTAAATATCTCGGCCCCAAGAAGCAGCTTTTCTACTTTCTGCAGGGGGCCATGTTCCTCCGCCGCCCGAAGACAATTCGAGGACTCAGGTGGGAGTCCAGTGTGGCCTGCGCCCGCGCCGCACCCTGCACGGTGGGAACAAGGAGGCTGGACGCTGGTATACGAAGTCCTCGTTCCGCCAAGGTCACCTGAGCGAAAGGGGCCCAGGGGTCAGCCGGGATCCAGGCCAGTCCCGGGCCCGCAGAGGGCTCCGGAGCGGCTCGAGGGCTGGAGGCGTGTCGGAGCCCTTCCCCAATGGGAACCGGCCTGTGCTGGGCGTGGCCCAATGAGGCCGTAGGAGGGCGGGACCCAGGCGAGTTCTTCCAATCGACAGGTCCGAGACCTCC